CTCCCTTCAGACTAAAGAGACTCAGTTCCTCCAGCCTGTCAGTGTGGGACACTCCACTCAGACTAAAGAGACTCCATTCCTCCAGCCTGTCAGTGTGGGACACTCCCTTTAGACAAAAGAGACTCAGTTACTCCTGCCTGTCAGTGTGGGACACTCCACTCAGACTAAAGAGACTCAGTTCCTTGAGGTTGAGAGCTGTATTGTTTCAGACACAGAGGGCTGGCATCCTACCCCATTCCTGAGTGGACATGTCTGTCTGTGCTTTCAGCGCCTGGAGAAGTCCGGGACAAACAAGGAGGCTCTGAGGATCCTCAAGGAGAAGAGGCCACGCTGTCACCTTATGCCCTTACCTGGGAACAAACTGCTTTGGAGCCAACAGGGAACCATGCAAGGTAAAAACCAGACAGCTCCACTCCCAGAGCAGTGTCACTGAGGAGCCACAGGGAGGCGGTGTTGAGCTGTGAAAATTAGATCCCCTAGTAATCCAGTCTAAGTTCAAGACTATAGAGCTTCAAGATCTTCAGTTGACTCATCTGTTTCCTTGTTGTGTGTTTCTAAGAAATGGATGAACAGTTTCAGCACTGCCTGAAAGAGTTCATCAACCACATTGGCCAGGTCCTGCAGATGACACGGTCAACCGTGACAGGAAAGACACTGGAAGGGAAATTCAAGGTAAGACATTATTCACTGAACCAGTCAACATCCATCACTACACCACTAGGGTACAACACCTCAAAGAGCAGCGTAAAACCAGTACAGTGCAGTAAAGCCCAGTGAGATCATGATAGAAACACAGTACAGTGCAGTAAACTACAAGTCATACAGTGTGTACAGGGTGATGCGAACCATCAGCTGTTCTAATGTGATTTCTGTCAGTTGTTGAGAATGAATTGTCACAGAAAGAGTTAAGCCCAGTGAAGCCTCACTTACCTTATTATTTTCTCTGTAGGAGATGGCACATATGATTCTGAAAAGCAACAACAGAATTTCCTCTCCTGCAGAGGTGAGTCTCTCTCTTTCCTGCTGGCCCAGACAATCTTTTAATCCTTTCTCTGTTGCTGTCTTCAGTCTGTTCAGAATAAGGAGACTCAGTTCCTCCAGCCTGTCAGCATAGGACACTCCCTTCAGACTCAAGAGACTCCGTTCCTCCAGCCTGTCAGTG